AATTTTTTGAATTGCATGACAGTTACATTTGTAATGTTTGAAGGATCTTTTTCATCTTTTTACAATGTATGTACATTCTCCTACCTCCAGACATTCACCAACACATCTTTAAAAGTTGTGACATGAATTATTCCTGTTTTTTTTAATTTTTAGTTCTTTGTTATTGGTGATGCTGGGTGTTTTAAATTTTTTCAGTAGTTAATTAAATGGATAAACATATAGCATATATATACACATTCCCTTATATAAATGTTCCATTACTATGTGTATTTACATATTTTTCTATTCCATATTCTTAGATAATGGCATGTTCACTATCTTATAAAGAAGAAGATCCAGCTTTTTAGGATATTTTAAATGAATCTAAAGGACATTATTCTACAGAAAATAAGCCAGGCAGATAAAAACAAGTACTGTATGATTTAACATATTTGTGAAAACCTAAAAATACTGAACTTATATAGTAGAATCAGGTGCCCAGGCAAGGGGAAAAGGAAGAGTGAACATTGTTAAAGTACAAATGGAAAGTGTCCAGATGTGTTCATTGATTTGATCATGATCTTGATTGCTCATTAATCTTGCAATTACTACAGTGTATACATTGAATATGTATATATACATATATGTACATAATCTTTATATATGCATATATACAATATAATATTAGTATAATATATTATATAATATATTATATATGTATATAATCCTTATATATATGTATATATATATATATATATACTCTTTGTCAATTTAATATTTAAAATCCCATGAACAGAGAGCTAAGCAGAATATGTAACATATTAACTTTCATTCCTAAGAGTTTACTCTTTGGAAGCAGCTCCTTGAAATGTCTGTACTTACACAACAAAAGTTGTTGCCCTTTTGGCACTGAAAATAATTCAAGTGACCTCCAGGATTTAACTGAGAAATTGAGGAAAGTAAAAACACTGTTGGAAAACAGCAAGTGAAAGCTTCCATTTTTCTAACCTGCTAATTCAGGAAAAAATTTTAAAGTGGAAATTTTGCAACTGATACTGTCAAACGTAACCACGGCCTTTGAGGAACTTCTACAGCAGGTTGGTGACCCTGAAAGGTTTCAGATTTTTATTACTATTCTTTTTAAATGGTTAACCATGCTGTCGGGCCCTCCTAGCTCTTCAGGAACTGAAATATGAGGATTGAGGTTTGAAGCCACCTGGAAAGAAAAGTCCATGAGACTTTACTGCAATGAACCAGAAAAAAAGCAGGATTGGATGAATGGCTCAAGTTGTAAAGCACTGAGCATGAAACAGAAAACACTATGTGAGAGCACAGGTTCTGAGTTTAAGCTCCAATATCACAAAAACAAAAAATGAAAAGGGAAACAGATACAGAGAGTGGTGTGTGAGACAAATAGAAGACACTAAAGTTTTAGTAGTGAGCAGACAGAACAGTAGAGAAATAACCCACACAATCTGGAGAGTAGAACAGAGAAATAGAAAGTGTCTCAATGTGGGAGACACCCAGAAGTATACCCATAGAGGACGGGGGAGGCACTAAGGTGATAGAATTAGACAACAAAATTAACACTAGCTCTAGTATCTAGCAGAATTGGCAGTCTAACAGGAAGGAAGGAAGTCTGGAGTCTGCAGTCGCATATTGGCACTAGGAATGTTCTTGCTTCATCCTGGTATTTGGTCCAGTGCCATGGCATGAAACAGTTTTAAAGGGTTGATACTTAAACCTTCTGCTTTAGGACTCAAAGTTCCCTGCATTGTTTTGTCTAGGAGAGCTCCCAAAAAGGGTCACAGTGACCCAGTGAGTGATGTCCTGAAGTGCTGTTCTCACCACAGGGGACAAATGAAGTCAGAGAATCAAAGAGCTCAACGTGGTGGAACATAGGGAAGACTACTTCCCCTTTGGAGCTGTCCACTATTGAAGTTAGCTGCAAGAGCTCCAAAAAGCATTGCAAGCACTATGGAGGCAATCCATATAGAAGCTGTTTCAGGCAAGGAAGCCCACCAGTGTTCCCCAGCTGCCACACTTTCACACTGCTTCCCTACTGCACAACCAGACCCTGGAAGGTGGGAGACCTGACCAGCTGGTGGAAAGTGTGTAATGCACTCTACCTGACACTTAGATACAGCCAAGCTAAGAGTCGCACAGGGGGCATGGCTGACAAAGGATATCCACTGGCTACTAAACAAGAAACACAAAGAAAAGAAGAGCAAATGCATACACATTATATTCTTACCAGGGGGTACATAGCTGCATAGCTTTGAAAGAAGACAAACAAGTCACACTTGTCCTAGGTTGGGATTCTGCATTTCTTCTACACTGATAGCATAAAAGAACAGGAAACTCAGCCTTGTCTTATTCAATGTTTTTCATTTTACTTTGAATCTTATCCCTCTTACTTTTTGATGTTGTATTCTCTCTCTCTCTCTCTCTCTCTCTCTCTCTCTCTCGCTCTCTCGCTCACTCGCTCACTCTCTCTCTCCCTCTCTTTCTATAGGGATATGTGTTTCATCAGACTTGATCTGTTTAGGGATTTACATATTCTATTTTTTATTCATTTACATGAATTAGTTATCAAGGAGGTTTTGTTTTCACAAGTCCATTTAAAAATACAAAGCTTCTTGATTATCATTCTCAAAAAGGTAGGACAAATGCTGGAAAAGAAAGGGAGATCATTGTATACATTTGGTGGAAGAATAAGTTTGATTTCTTTTCTCATATCCAAAGCGATCTTGGAAATTAGTGCACACACCAAGTGGCCATTGTCGATCACCGATAAGTTGTTTATTGACTATTTTGAGATGTATGTGTTCTTATTCTATCAATAGCTCCCCAAGCATTAATATTTGAACCTTAATCAAAAGTCCAAGTCCAGAGTCTTGTCTAGACTCAAGGTAAACTATTGTCAGTCTCTCTTAATGAGTAACACATTCCCAAGAAACAAGCGTAAGAGCGGTACAGAGTGTACCCTCCCATGCCAAAAGGGAAGGATAGGTGAATAGAAAGGAGGGACCACATAAATGAAAGGTCAACTTAAGACCTACAAGCTCTGTCTACTCTCTGACACACACTGGGAAAGACAGTGGTCTCCAAAGACGTGGAAGATCCCCACGCTCCAGCCCCCCTGGCTGCCATCCACACGGCCCTTCCCAGACACTGCCTTAGCTACTGCCCACAGCTTCCTTCGACAAAGCTTGTGGCTTCACTCTCAAAGTCCCACAAATCACACCATTGGGAGCAATTCATAGGGAACCCCTCATCCCCCATCCCCCTTTGTGGGACACATTGTCTAGTCTCCAGACATTATGGTGAAATCTTGTAAAACAAATCCTCGTGACCCCGTACATCGTGCAGTCTTCATGCTTGTAAAATGGTCATCCCAAGGATACACAGCAAGGTCTGTTCCAGGGCAAGCTGGAACTGGGCCCATTAGAGCCATGGCTACAGCTTTCTTTGAGTGTCCTACTCATAGGATAATGGGTTACAAATCCTGAAATGATTCCCAACATGAAATAAGTTTGTACTCCCCAATCTGTGAGCTTGCGGTAGCTTGGAGGTAATCTTAATGCTTTCTGGGAAGCATTTGAGCTTCTGGTGCAATGAACGTGGCTTCATTTTACTCATGCTACTGTTGTATCCTCCATGGCCTCACCTATACATGTGCTTTTGTATTTGGGGATGTTTGTTTGGGGAGGGAGAGTTGAATGTGTGTATATGTGTGTTTGTATGTCCTCAGGGCCTGGATGCTGTCCCTGAGCCTTTTTTTTTTGGGGGGGGGGGGTCCGGTCGTGGGGCCTGAACTCTGGGCCTGGGCGCTGTCCCTCAGCTCTTCAGCTCAAGGCTAGCACTCTACCACTTGAGCCACAGCGCCACTTCCGGCTTTTTTCTTTTTGCTTATGTGGTGCTGAGGAATCGAACTCAGGGCCTCATGCATGCAAGGCAAGCGCTCTACCACTGAGCCACCTTCCCAGCCCATCCCTGAGCCTTTTTACTCAAGGTTAGCATTCGACTACTTGAGCTATATGGCTCCACTTCTAACTTTCTAGTGGTTAATGGAGATTAAAGTCTCATGAAATTTTCCTGCCCAGGCTGATTGGAACCTCCAACCAAAGAATGCAGCCTCTGAGTAGATAGGACTACAGTGTGATCCACCAGGGCCTGGCTCTGCACATGCTTTACTACTGCCTGAACAATTTGGGCGATTTTTTTTTATTATTTTATTTTATTTGTGAACATACTGTACAGAGGGGTTACAATTACATGGGCAGGATAATGCATACATTTCTTACCAAGCATTGCAGCCTCCTCCTTTGTTTACCCTTCACCTCCCTTCCCAACCTCCCCGCTCCCCCCCAACCAATCCTTCCCCCCCTCCCTCCCCCCACCGACATTGTAAACCTCGTTTTTGACATGACAATTTGTGCCCTTCAGTAGATGAATGGATCAAGAAAATGTGGTATATATACACAATGGAATTCTATGCCTCCATCAGAAAGAATGACATTGGGCGATTTTTGAAAGAGGAATAGACAAGTATTGAAATTCATTTTATAATATGAGTTAAACATGAACCTTGGGAACCAAGGTTAGACTTCCATGGCTTGTGTGTAATTTGTCCTCTGGAGGATAAGCCTCCATTGTAGTGATGCAAGTGTGGTGGAACACATTTATAGTACGAGTTTTAGCTCTGTATAAAAGCAGAAAGCAGAGAAGGAAAAGGGTAGCATTGTTCTGACTCCAACTCTGGTTCTTTCCCAGAAACCCTGGTGGGATTCTACTTTGATTCATTTCAAGGTTGATTAATTTCAAAATTGACCAATTTCCACTTTGATTTCCACAGATTACCTGGACATCTGAGTGTTTTTCTTTTGTAGCAAATATGAGCTTTGAGGAGAAAATATGAATGCAGTTAAACCAATTTATGTTACTTGAGTTTTCAGGGAGTGGACTCGAGAAGAGGTAACACATTAACTTTATTGGGCTTATTCTTGGTGTTCTCTTTGGCACACACACACACACACACACACACACACAATTTCTCTCCATGTGCTTCTAGGAGCTCATCAGCAGTCTTAAGAAGGTAGGTTCTTACCTTGTTTTGTTTCATTTTGTTTTTATTGTACTAGCATAGGAAATTAAAGGTAACAATATGAATATTAAAATTAATTGTCAAAAAAGAAGAGCTTATTTGCAGAAGAAAATGAAAGGCCAATGGTTGTCCTAAACTGTGCTTGCTTGGAAATTAAAAAGAGCATTTAATAACCATAAGAGAACTTTGCTTTTAGAACCTTGAATTGCTACCTTATTGCTTATGTTACCATAGGTATCATTTTATTGTTGAACCTCATTAACCCTTTCTGTAATTTTGTAGCTGTTAATTTTTAAAATTGTAGCTGAACAAATTATAGTTGTGCCCATGTATGGGTATCAATTGCTGTTATAGTTTATGAACACAATATGGTGGGTAGAAAAACCATCAACTTAATTAACACCTTAATTAATACTTAAAAGTTTCAGCTAATTCAGTATACTCGATAAGTTCGAAGGATACAGTTGAGAAAAATAAATAATTCTAAACTTACCTCTTTGATCTCTACCCCTTTCCACCTTTCTGAGACTCTCATGATATATATGTATATGTGTGTGTGTGTGTGTGTGTGTGTGTGTGTGTGTGTGTGACTGTTCTGCCCTTGTTACCCAGCCATATTCCTGTAAGAGGCACTCTCAGCAGGTGATTGTCCTACTTTCAGCCTAGTAGCTTGTAACCCCATGGCTTAATTTGCAGTATTCTCCTACTCCTATCTAATCTCATGACAACTTCTTGTGGTTCTTCCATGTAAATTTGATTAGCCCTTCATCGTGTTCAGGGAACACATAACTTCTTTGCCAACATTCTGTGTGTATTTTTTGTTTCCATTTACATAATTTGTATAATATATGTACTATGTATTTGCTTATGGTGTCTAAGCATGTATTGCTTCAAGAAACAAGAGTAAACATATTTGATCAAAATGATTTCCTGGGGTTGGATGCTTAATATCTCCCATACCTTGACTAATGTACGTAATTTTGCAGTGGCCATGGGAGTGCATATATCCCTTCAATATGCACACTGTTTCCTTTGTCTTTACATTTGGATGTGGGATTGCTGCTTTGCATGGAAGTTCTACTTGTAGCTTTGGGGAGTGTCTCAGTACTATTCACAATAGCTTTAGTACTTTGCAATTTCGTCATCAGGATGCAAGAACTCTCCCTGTTTCACACACTTCTCAACACAGATGTCTTGTATTTGTATAGCCATGTGGAATCTTTATTTGCATATTTGCTGTAAATAATGTATATGGAATACCAATGGATAAGGACTGTGATTATATATGTACTATACATACGAATGTACATTATATGTACATGTATATTACATACCTATATGCATATATGTATATATATGGATGTGTGTACATGTGTGTATATATGTATATACATATACATATATACATATATATGTATATATATATATCCACAAACAAAATTATCCAGCCAAAATAATCAAAAAAGGATTTCAACCATTGCTACAATATAAATGACCATGGAACTCTCTTTTCATCATTCCATAAGTCAGACACAGAATGACCAACACTGTATGATGTAAGTTACGTGTTGCCTGTATCTCCTAACCTCTTTCTCCAAGAAATAAAACATGGGGTCCTCATTGTAGTTAAAATAATCCAAGTGGTTTCATAACCCTTTATGAAGAAGTTAGAGCAATTTTTCTATTTAACATTTTTCACCTTCACATCCGGGAAAACCTTTTAAAGTGGTAAGCTCACTGTTTGATCTCTTGCCGTCTCTACCTCTTGTTCTGCAGCAGATACTCCCAGACCTAGCTATGGCCTTTGAGGAACTTCTACAACAGGTTGGTGACTCTGGAAGGTTTCAGATTTTCACTGCTGTTCTTTTACTATTGTTAAACATGCTGTCAGCCCAGCATGACTTCATGGAAAACTTTACAGCAGCCATCCCTGCTCACCATTGCTCTGTCCGCCTCCTCGATCTCAAATCAAAGTCCAACATCACCACAAATCTGACTACGGAAGTTCTGCTGAGGCTCTCCATACCCCTGGACCCAAACCAGAAGCCTGAGCAGTGTCGTCGCTTCCACCAGACCCAGTGGCAACTCCTAAGTCCCAATGTGTCAGCCGTGAATAACACCGACCTGGAGACAGAGCCATGCCTGGATGGATGGACCTATGACCAAAGTGTCTTCACTTCAACCATAGTTACTGAGGTTAGTCTCAATAACTAAGGAAAAGGAATGAATGAATACATGCGTGCACACACGCACACACACATGCACACGCGCGCACACAGGTACATTTTAGATAGATATTATACTATCAATGGGAGGAGCTGTAGTTTTTGTCTTTCACTAATACCTTATGGGTTTCCTATTTTATCCTTAGAAAAGAATTACTTCCATGTATTTAGAAAAGTGACATACCCAACTGTCTGCAAAATATTTGAGTGTGATATAGTTATGTATTTTGATGATGGGTGATTCTCAGGATTCAGATGGTGGTGGTGAACATCTTAGATCTGTCACTCAGTTTCACAGTTGAGCAGCTATTTGCTATAGTTTGCTATTTGGAACCAGATAATTTTACATCTTGCTTCGTTTACGGCACTCTAAGGTTATTTATTTTTATCTTTGCTAAGTTATCAGATTAGTAATCATCTACATGATATGAAAATAACTTAGAATAGGGTGGTATGCATAATATAGGTAAGATATTTAACAACTGAATATCATATAGAATTGTCTGATAAAAATTAGTTATTAGTATTCAAAAATGTTCTTCTATTCATTCAAATAGTATGTTTGGGGCATGATAAATATTGTATGTTACTCAATGTATGTTTAAGTTTTCTTCCATAACGCAGAAATGAGAGAAAACTGGACAACAGAGTTTTCATTCCTCCTTAATAACTTCATGTCCAGTGGATTGCATTTATTTCTAATCCTTGTCCAGATTTGGTCCATTTAAAATAAATGTTAAGGTTCTTCCACTGTGTAATTTCATTTTTATAAAATATTATTTAAAACTAATTAAACAGAAAGTTTAAAGAAGAAAATAATAGCTCCTCGGGAGGCTGATTCCTCAGGATCCTGTTTCCAGCCAACTCAGGAATATAAATCCAGGAGATTTTTCTTCAATTAGCCATCAAAAAGCCAGAAGTAGAGATGTGATTCCAGTGATAGAGCACTAGCCTTGAACAAAGCCAAGCTGAGCTCACAAGTCCCTGAGTTCAAGATCCAGTATAGAAGAAGAGGAAGGGAAAGAGGGAGGACAAGGTGGGGGAGGAAGAGGAGGGGGAGGAGACAACATTATATAGAAATTTCCCAACTGAAATGTGCTTGGGACAAGTACCTTCAAACACTAACATCACTGAATCCTCATACAATCCTAAAATGTCATCACTCTGTAGCTACAATTCTTGCGATCACACAGAATTTAAGATTCATTAATTTTCTATCTAAAGGATAATATTATACATGGAATCCATATGCTACATATCACTACCAATTTTCATTTTAATAGTTAATTTTTAAAAACATTCCTCTCTATGATTAAGTATTAAGTCATATTTTAAGTAGGTTAGGTATTTAATATTTGTTCCAGTTAAGTTTTCAATGGGTCTGTTTTTTTTTTTTTTTTGATAAATAACTTAGGTAAAATTTTAGTAACATCAGAGCTTTTTATACCAAATTCAGACTCTTTTAGCATTCATGCTTTGTGGATACAGTTTTCATTGTTAACATTAAATTCTAGTTCTGGCTTTCTGTTTAGGTACTTGAGACTTCTTTGAGCAATTTTGTTATGGTGATAATGTGATTATATGATGAATCTAATTAAGGATAATTCCAAAATTATAGCATAAATAATTTAGTAACTTTTATATACCTTTCAGATTTATAATTAATAAGACAGTCACATAGTTCTCTGTTGTACTAAATTATTTCCTCCTATCATGGTTTTTTTCTAAAATAATTTTATTGTTACTATTAAAATGTTGGAAAGAGGGGTTACCATTTCATGTTAGGTGATGAGTACATTTCTTCTTCGACAATTTCACCCCTTCCTGTACTTTCCCCGAGTTTCCCCTCCCATCTTTGCCTGCAAATTTTGAAGTTTATTTTCTATATAGTATTTTCTGAATAACATGATTGCATTTGTTCAACCTTTTTTTGTTCCCTCCATTTGTTCCCTCCATTTCTGTGTCCCTTTTTGCCCCTCTTAAAAAAACAATTTTTTTATTTTATTTTATTTTTTGTATATTTTTATTGTAAAAATACTGTACAGAGGGGTTACAGTTACATGGAAATGAGTACATTTCCTATGGAGCATTGTTACCTCATCCTTTGTTTTCCCCCTACTATCCCTTTCCTCCCACCTCCACAACTACTCCCCACCCTCTCACCCCTTCCAAACCTACCCATCCACCAACGTTGTAAAGTTAGTTTTCAACATAGTGTCTTGTACATCTCATTGTTACAATGGGTCAACCTGTATCCTTATTTAAACATTTTGTTTTTTTCCTTCCCTTCCCCAAATTAGAGAAGTGTATATACAAAATGCAAGGCACTGACATCAAATACAGTGAAAACAAGAGTTATACTGTGGGGGAGGAACATGCAAAGAAACAAAAAAAATCACATGTTACATTATAAATACGTTAGAAACAATAGCAAGAAAAAAAGATGTTGTGTCCCTATCTTGGGGTCCATTTCGCTAAACATCGTCTTATATGGTCATATGTACATAGCTTTTGACTTTTTCTGCTTGAACTACACATGGACTAGTTATTGCAAATAAGGGAAACCATGGAACCTATGTTTCTTTGGGCCTGGCTTACTTCACTTAATATAATTTTTTCCAAGTCTTTCCATTTCCTAACAAATGGGGCAATGTCATTCTTTCTGATGGAGGCATAGAATTCCATTGTGTATATATACCACATTTTCTTGATCCATTCATCTACTGAGGGGCATCTGGGTTGGTTCCATATCTTAGCTATGGTAAATAATGCTATGATAAACATAGTTGTGCTGGTAGCCTTATATGGCCTTGCCAAACAACAATTTAAAAAATATGTTTCCATTTCCTAGAATTGGTTTTGATAGATAATGTTATAAATGTTCAGAAGAGTTACACCCTTGAGTTCCTCACCTAAGAGTATCCTCCTTTATTTTCACTGTTTTTATGTAAATTTCTAGAGTCCTATTGTAGTTTAGATCCACCTTCCACAAATGAGAGAAAACATGTACCATTTGTCTCTCTGAGCTTGGCTTAACTCACTTAACATGATTTGTTCTAAGTCCATCCATTTCCCTGCAAATGACATGAGTAAATTGCATTGTGCATAATGTACTACATTATGCACATCCATCATATTGTAGGGCATCTGGACTGTTTCCATAGCTTGGCTATTGTGAATGGTGCAGCCATGAACAATGTACAGGTGTCTTTACCATATCCTGACTTGCAATGTTCTGGGAAGATGCCCAAGAATTGAATGGCTGGGTAATAGGGAAGTTCTTTTTTGAGGAACCTCCAGACTGCCATCCAGAGTTGTACTAGTTTACATTCCCACTCACAGTGCACGAGGGTTCCTTTGTCCCCACATCCCTGCCAGCATTTGTTGTTTGAAATATTGATGTTTGCCAATCTACCTGGAGTGAAGAATTATTTTTATCTGCATTTCTTCATGTGTTTATTTGCTATTCTTGCTTCTTCTGTGAAGTCTCTCTTTAGCTCCTTTGTCCATTTATTGGTTGGTTTATTAGTTTGGTTTATTAAAGTTGAACTCCTTGGATATTTTGGATATTAGTCCTCTGATGGATATATGGCTGATAAAGATCTCCCAGTCTGTTGACTATCTTTCTAGCTTACTAACTATGTCCTTTGCTGTGCAGAAACTTTTTATTTTGATACAATTTCATTTGTCAAGTCTCTCTCCTGCCATGCCCCTGAGACTCATTTTCAAAAACTTCCTGCTGATGCCTATTGGTTTTTATGTTTCTCCTACTCCATCTTGCAGTAGTTTCAAAGTTTCAGCTCTCACATTGAGATCTTTGATACACCTGCAGATGATATTAGTGCATGGTCACAAAAAGAGATCCACTTTTAGTTTTCTACATATGGGCCCAGTTTTCCCAGTATCAATTATTTAAGAGGCTATTATTTTCCCACAGTATATTTTTGGCTCCCTTGTCAAATATCGTAGAACTGTAAGTATATGGCTTTATTTCTGGGTCTTCTAGTCTGTTTCTTCCAATTATGTTTTAAGTTGTAAAGTAACAATCATTTTCAACTTCACATTAATGTGTACTCTATAAAAGTTTTGTATTCATTTGTAGAAATTCTTTTAAAATATATCTGCTATAAAAGTTTTGTGTTTATTGTTTATATAGCAACTGAAGATCTGGTATTTACCTATCAACACATACTCAACGAATTTTGCATTTGTATATATTTATATTATTGTCAAAATTTAGTTTGGTAACATTTGCCACAGACTTCAATGTATATGAATCTATCTTTTCCAGGCACTGGTGGCTCATACTAACTACTCAAAGGGTTGAGGTCTGAGAATCGTAGTTCAAAGCCATCCCAGGCAGGAAAGTCCATGAGACTCTTATCTCCAATTAACCACCAGAAAACCAAAAGTGGAGCTGTGGATCAGAGTATAGAGCACTAGCCTTGAGCTTAAAAGAGCTCAGAGACAGTGCCCAGTCCCTGAGTTCAAGTCTCATGACCAACAACTAAAAATAAAAATAAATAATCCATATTTAATCTTTCAGGAGAAAATATGCAAGGAACTTGTTGAAATAACTCTTCAAACTCATTCATTTTATAGAGAATCAAGAGATGCTGAAGTGTTGATGGAGGTTATCCACTGTAGCTAGCCATGCATGCAATTCCACTTCTCCGCCTCTGATCTTTGCTTGGGAGCATTGCTTCATCATGCAAGCTTAGATTTAACAAAAGCTAGATCATAGTTCAATCTTGGGACATTGGTTATTAATTTAACAAGATCTAAGTACACCCTTATTAGATAAGAGGTCTTCTGCAGTGTTGTGAGGAGAAAATAATAAGATTCTTTGATTTAATAGAATACTTTGCATTAATTCAAGTGACAACTTGTTCAATTTTGCCCTTACCCTCATCTTTCACATCTCAGTAACTCTTTCTAAGTTTGAACGTGGCAGTCACTTTGACCAATTTTTTTCTTTCTCACAAAAGAAAGTAACTTAGGCACAGGATTGTACACAATTTTCATCTTCAGATTTTCTGGAACAAATTGTTTTTCTGTCTTATAAATGCCACCCAAGTGTACAGTAGCATTTCTACTATGGCTTCATCTAGAACTCCCTTCATTTCCTCAGTACTGCCACAAGAACTTCTCATCAACCCACATACAATGATAATCATTGCTCAATATACATCAGGGGATTTCTATAGCTATTAGGAAAACAAAAGCAAGAAATCACTTTATAAAAATCTTTGTCATATACTTCCTTTCTATAATCTAATCATACACCATTCCTATTCCTTGTTTCTCTGAGTATCAAAAACATTTGTCACCAAATTCTATACAACTCCTACCACCATCGTTATGGCTGTACAGTCTACATGTGCATGTTTGTTATATGTTTCTCCTTTTTAAAAAATGTCCTCTTTATCTAGCTTCATACTAGTTTTATTCATGTCTCTGTTTAATGTTTTTCTTCCTAATTGCCTTTGCTTCTTGGTCTCTTTGCACTGCACAGACTTTTCTAGCACTTCACTTGTGTAATAACAGACTGTGCACAGCATAATTAAGTTGTACAATCTGAAAGCCACATGTATATGACTGGATGAGCTTAGTTTTGTTTATTTTTTTAAAGCAGAGAGCATTTAGTATCCTAAAACACCATTGTCTCCTCTTTGCAATTGTTTTTCACATTATTTTCCTCTTCATAGGCATGCTTGTAACGAATTAATGTTTTTCCTCTATTACTTCACTAATATTGCCTTGATTCAAGGATCCCATGCAAGAGTAACAAAGTGGGTAGAAGACAGTATCATTATTTTAATAGTTTATTTCAATGCTGCATATTTCTGGCTCTTGATACACTTGGACCAAGACACTATGTTTATTTCTAAGTCTCCTTAGTTTCTATCCCTAAGAATCTAACACTCTGTTGCTTTGAGATTCTGGCTTTGAAGCCATGTTTTCTTTTTGTCATATTTTATTCTATTTTGTTTACCATCAGAACTTTAATTCTTATAACATTTGTATTTATTTACATTATAGGAAACATTCAGATATTATTCCACCCACTTGGGGATATGCAGACATCCACAGGATTGATACCCCATTTATCTATATCAGTATCTACCTGCCATGATTAAATCCTCTTTGCCTCCAGCCCTCAGTGCCATGTGTAAGAGAAACACTTCAAGAAGCTGCTGTGTTCATGGGATGTACTTCCCTTGAGATCTTTTTTAAGTTCTACAGCATCTTCTCTTGAATGCCAACTCCAACAGGGAACCAAGGTTTGCTGGAAATAGGTCATGTCTGTTTCTTTCATGCTTTCCTCTAATTTTCTTCTGCTTTATTTCACCCCAACTTATTAATTTGCCAGTGTGTTTACATTGTACATGATATGATTCCACACTTAAAATCATTCTCTCTTTATGGTGTTCTTCAGATTATGCATTATACTTCTGGTCACTGACTTCATTTGACCTCTTATATTTTCATTTAAAAGAATGCATTTTTGTCTTGATAATGGAAATTAAGAAATGACTCTTTTCAAAGTATGTTTCTTTCTGTTTATGAAATACAGACTTCAGTCCCATAGGTGAGTATTTGTTTCTCTCTGTATTATGATGAAGAGCAATTTGTGCTATGAACTGAAGGATCATGAACTGCCCTCTCGTTACAAATTATTACGTTATAAATGTAATTAGTTATTACAGTCTTCTTTTGCAATAGAAGTTTCAGTCTCTATTATGAGTATTACAAAGATTTTTTTATAAATTACTTGTCCATATATTCTAGTCCAGTACATAGAATAGCCCTTGTCTACATTAACAAACATGTTTTGATATTCTTTTTCTTCACACTTAACCATTTATTCATGAATTCTATTCATGACCTTTGTTCAAATCACATTTTGAATGATGTTCTTCTTCCCTATTTTCCAGTGGGACTTGGTATGCGATTTTCAATCATTCAAATACTTTGCACAGACCATCTCCCTAGCAGGGCATTTGGTGGGCAATCCTATATCTGGCATCTTTGGTGACAAGTAAGTTTCATCTTCTGAACAAGAACCATCTGCCAACTAAATACAATTTAAAGACTGTAGACATTTTCCTAGAAATTTTGCACTTAACAGAAGATGAGTATACAGAATACCAAAGCCAAATGATGTCGATATGATTCAACAAAATGAGAAATTTTGAAAGGCAAGAACTGAGGTTTGTGCTTTAGATGACAGAGCTTAGGATTCAAATAAGGTGGGAGCCTTAAGCTAACTTATAAAGGCTTGAAAATTCCAAAGGATAAGGAAGGTATAAAAAAAGTGGAAATGTGAAAAATTGAAACAGAGTAATTAATATAACAGATTGTCAAGATCCAAAAAGATATTTATTAACTGTCGCTCTCTAAAAAGTGTGAAAACAGTATTTTTATGTTATTCTTAAATTGAGAAGTGGGTATAACCAGGAAATTGTAGCAACTTGAAAGAATCTAGGTAGCTATTTATAATGTATAAAGTATGTTTAATATAATGATTTAAGAAGGTTAATTTGTAGTCAGACTTAAAGATACTTGATGAAACCAGGAAAAAATGGAGAACTACAATCATTGCTGAAACAATTATGGAGAATTTGTCTAAAAAAGCTGAAGACAAAAATCTAGGGAAGGGATAATCAAAGTTAATAACAAGGCATATTTAAAACAAGCAGATTGAGTTGATTACAATACTCTTAGGAGGAAGACAAATGCAATTAATATAGTGAAGAAGAGAGGTGAAAACAAAATAGTACTGACTCTTGAATGACACTGGCTTTGATGGCAATAGGATCACAAACACAGAAACGAATCTGAAATCTAATGTATCTAAAATGAACAAACATGCGCATTTATGACGATCTTGCTGCATCTTATCCATAAACAAATCTACTGCAGATCGTAATATTGTTAAACAAATGCAAAAATCTGGGAGTTAGTATCCACCATGAGAATCTTTATGTTTTCATTCAAAATCTGGCATTTTATCACTCTTTATCAGTAAGATAAAAAAATAATAAATTTCAAATATTTATAACTTATTTTCCACTTACATGTGATAGCACTTACAAAGAATTGCTATGAAGATGACAGGAGTCAATTGACAAAATGTATCACCATTGTCTTCATCAATAATGAGAACAAAAAGTTAAAAGACAAAAGATCATAGCTAATGAATTCTTTTTTTCTGAGAATTAGAAACACAGAGCAACTTAACTTTTTTGCCTTATTTAAAAAATATATCTAGTGGATTTGAAAGGTAAAATCTAAATAGCTTCACAAAGTGCTTCATGTTCTTTGGCTTTAGGTCATAATATATTTTCTTAAATTTAATGCTCATTTTATACCATTGGGCAAAAAGGAATGTGGCATGATACCACCAACATATTTATGATTTTCAGAATAATTATTTTTGAAAATACATGCTATAGATTCTACTTTATTGAAATCATAGAATTATTATTTCAATTACAATACTTGAATACAATATATGTTTTGTTTTCATTTCTATTGTCATCTAATTGGAGGTGACAATGTGCATTTGGAAAACTTCTAGTTTTCAAAATGTTATGGAAGTTCTCCTGGAATGCCCTAATGATATGAAAAGATACTTGTTATATGGTATTTTATTAAATGAACAACTATTTCCACAGGTTTGGACGGAAACCATTGTTGGTTGCTGCTGGCTTAAGTTTTGGAATTCTGGGCTTCGCCTGTGCATTTGCACCCTCCTTCTCTTTTTACTGCCTTTTGAGATTCCTGATGTCTGCCTGCTTGAGTGCCTTACAAAACAGTAGCTTGGCCCTTCGTGAGTTTGCCTTCATAAAAAATGTTTTTTTAATATCTATCTATCTATCTATATTATTGTAACGATACTATACAGAGGGGGTTACAGCTACATGAGCAAGATAATGAGTCCATTTCCTATCCAGCATTGTTACCCCTTCCTTTGTTTTTCTCCTACCATCCCTTTCCTCTCCACCTCCCCAACTCCTCCCTCCCCCCAAACCTCCTCTCCCTGCAATATTATAAAGTTCGTTTTGTCTTGTACATCTTGTTGTTACAATGGGTCATCCTGTATCCTTATTTCAGCATTTTGTTATTTCCCTTCCCTTCCCCAAATTAGAAAAATGTATATACAAGATGCAGGACACCAGAATCAAATACAGTGTCACACATAAGTTTTATTTCACCTGTCAGCATCTTTCTTTTGTGGTACTGAATGTCTTAATTTTTTTAGTTTTAGAAAATACTTCACAAAAATGGTTTCCTATAATTGTAACAATGAAAGGATTATCTTTGAGTGCTAACCAAGCATTACTTGCCGGACTGGCTTACTTTTTCCGAGACTGGCACAAGCTCCAACTGGCCAACACCTTGCCCTACTTCATTGTGTCTTTGTTTGTCTGGTATGTGTCTACCTTAGGTGCTTAACCTAAGTGATTGTGATTTCATGAAGGTTTGGTTATCTCTACAAACATTTTTGAGTGTAAGACTCAATAATGGAATAAAAATCTACATGAAAAAGTCAGTTCTACTAGAATGAGTTATCTCATAAATTCATAAACTTAGATAAATGGTTCCATCACATTTGCATTTAAATATTTTTGTTTTCACTTTAGTTCTTGAGATTCTTCTCACATTATCCCACTAAACAAATATTCCTAAATGAGAGCCATTGATAGAGTTTTTGATGATGATTCTTCTAAGAGACAAAATAATCTTTTCATTTCCAAAGCACTTTTTCTGATGCTCACCAAATTTTGGTTAATCTTCTCAGTGATACAATATTGAGTAACACTAAAATTTATATTATAAATGTTTATAATGTTGCAAAATTTATTACAAATTACACTCACGTATGGAACTTGCAATCGTGTCTTGTACAAAAAGAAACCCCAGAACAGCACATGAAAAGGGAAATATATTTAGTATTTGAATCAGAAAATATTTAATTAGGAATCAAATTTTTCAATATTCCTGTTTTAAAGGATTATGAGTAAGAATTGATCAAGACGTGTTATTTTTCAGTCGGAGGGATCATGTACATTGGAGAGTTGTTTCTTTCCAGTAAGGGCATCTCTGATCCTCTTAACACTTCCTTCTGTCTATATGTAGTTGTGTCTCAGAATCAGTTCCCTGGCTCATGACAACTGGGAAAACAGAACATGCCTTAAGAGAACTACAAAGAATTGCCAGAATCAATGGGAAGAAAGATGTTGCACAAAGTCTGACTACAATGGTAAGGGAAACATGATTGCCATATCTTCAGCTATATTCCTCTCCAATGTCAGTGAGATGAAAAGGATTGATCAAATAATCAACATAGCCAACAAATGTAAGAAGTCAGAACAGACGTAAACACCGAGGGTCAGTAGTGTGGTGCCCTTTGTGTGTACATGGTATTTGTGACTTCCCAAAGTGACTGAGAGTATGACGGGAATTTTAGAAGCATTGGATAAGGGCAGGTGTACAGGTGTTTCAAGAGTCCAGATAGTGTGGATTTTGCTGAGTATCAAAGGAACTGAGAAAGCTCGGATGTACTGTCACCCTCCCTTTGTAATTCTTGGCAGTCAGGATCTTATCATTATCCTCTGTCATGCTATCCCTGCTGATGAGTTATGTAAAAGCATACTGAAACTCGACTTTCGCTGTCATCTTTCCACTGAAGGAATACTTGGGAAATGTGATGTGTTACATGTTCTCCATTCATCTCATGGCAGAAATAACATGTCAGTCATCCACCTGTCACATACATCTGAAATGATTTGGAGAATTTGAGCTTAAGGTTGCAACAAATTAATTCCAAGAAAAGTATTTTAAATTCTATTCAATATGCATCTTCAATACCTTCTAAATGAGAAAGCATGATCAAACAAAGCACATCAGGGCATTTTATTGTTGTTGTTATTTGGAGATTTTTATATATTTATTTATTTATTTATTGCCAGTCCTAGGTCTTCATCTCAGGGCCTGGGCTCTGTCCCTGAGCCTCTCTGTGCTCAAGGCTAGCACTCTACCACTTGAGACAGAGCGCCACTTCCAGATTTTTTCTGCTTATGTGGTACTGAGGAATTGAACCCAGGGCTTCATGCATGTTAGGCAAGCACTTTACCACTAAACCACATTCCCAGCCCCATGAGGATTTTCTTTTCTTTCTTTTTCTGTTTAAAGAGGACTCTGTTTTTTCTTATGTCTACAGAAGTTAGGTTACATCGCAAGTCAAAATGCATTTTGGATTTCTTGACAGATTTGTGTGACTGGTCAATCACAATCATTATTCACATTTAGAGGAAAAGTGAAGCTCAAGGAGCATGAATTGGTCCAAGAGAATACATGACAGACCTAAGAAGAAATGATCAAATGAAATGTATTAGATATTTGAGTGCATGATGTCTGCAACTGGAAGTGTGGTAGAAATAAAACCACATATGAGCATGCAGTTACACTACCGTATTTTATAAACTGATAAAGGGTCTATAAAACTGGTTAGCTGAAAGTATTTGTAAATACCTAATATATAAAGATAGTATGGTATATAATATATTTGTGCTTAGTTTGTGAATATAGAAGACAGATTGTGTACACAAAATGAAGAGAGATCCTAAACATATAGAAATCTTCAACAGTATAATAGAAATATTTCTCGTAGTTCATCAAGAATAAGGCAAAGATTTACCACCGTGGAAATACAGATTATTAATGCAAAGAGAAATTCTTAGGAGAGCAAGTTGTTGTGTTCATGTTATTCACATTTAGGGGACAGATCCAAGAAAAGTACACCACTAATTTCCAATAAGCAACAAATAATTTTACAACTATAAGAATCATCGTAATTCCTAAAATGCTTTTGATCACTTGGAATTACTTTGCTCTGAGCATTGGTAGCCTCTGCCTATAATCCTAGCATCTCATGAAGATGAGTTCATAGTTTAGGTTTCAAAGCCAGTCTTGATAGAAAGGTTTGTGAAACTCCATGAACAAGCAAAAATCCAGACTGGAGAGATGGCTCAAGTGGTAGCCTAGCAAATGAGCCAGCACGTAGAGAGGTAGCAAAGCCCTGAACTCAAACTCCAGTACTGATTTTTAAAATGGCAATTTATAACACAAGCATATTTTAAACAGTTTAAAAAGTATATTTTACAGTGTTGTAAATTACTTCATCTTTTCTTGGATCCTTTGAATAAGCATCGAAACCAATGAGATTTACCCAATAATCAATTTGGCTTTGTTCGAAGGTGAAAAGACAAAAGCTATAGGAAGCTGTAAGAACGATTTGAAAATAAAGATCCCCCTTTTACTGAAACTAAATAGTTTTGTGTTTTGCTTTCGTTTCTTCTTGAAGGTGGTAAGATCCAAAAGGAAGAAAGAATTGAATGAAACAAGAAGTCACTCCAGAATAACAGAGGTTATTGTTAATCCCACAGTGGTTAGGACAGCAATATTTGTATCCAGTTTGATGTGAGTAATTTGTCATTTTATGTAGTAACACATGTTCAATCATTTTAATATCATGTGAAGCCTTTTAAGAATATCTTGTTTAAAAGGATATTTTCCTCCTTCATTCATAAAGTGGAAAAAGGTAATACAAAGAGAATCATATATCTGTGCAATTCCACAAGGAATCAACGGTACCAAACAGGGTCATCGGCTGGTAACATATCATAGCAACTGGAGGAATCAAAATAGCAACATGCAAGATTAAACATCAATAAGAAGAAGAAAATTTTTTCAGACATATTGCTCAGTCTTATTCATAATAGGAAACAGTATAAAATAGAAAAAATCATAATAGTTTGTATCATCATTACCATTTTCAGTTCAAGTCTAAGTAATATTGGCTAATACAGGATTGTATGCTTGCTGGCTCTCCAATTGATTCAAGTCTATAAGTCATCATACTATGTTGATGCATAAAGACAATTGAAAAGTGGTCCATTCACTTGAAATGATGAAGGCATTTTCAAAAACCAATAAAAATTAAAATGTATAACTTTCCACATGAGATCTATTTCCAGCCCAATTTTGAAGACAAGAAGAACAATTGCAAAGAAGTTATTAGGCTTCCCCAAAGACCTAATTTATGGAAAGCACTTGCAACCAATTTACCAGCCTGAAGCTTAAGACTATACTTTTATGTATGGAAAGCAATTGCTAATGGCTATGTATGCCAGAATACTAATTATTTGATAAACATGCACATGGACATGAAAAGCATCCTTGCATGACTATATTTTAGATCTTTTAGTATCTGAATAAGGTAAAAATGTCCTATATGAAATGATAGATCCAATAGTTGAAAGTTGAATTGTGAAAGGAAGATTATTTCAGAATAGTCATTACAATTTTTATGTTACTATATAAAGTATAATACATATACTGTAAGATTATATGTTTTTAACAAAAAATCACTTCTACTTTTATTTATTTAAGAAAAAATACGACTTTCTACAAATTGCAAACAACTAGATTGATGAATTATATTTTATCTCAGGAGTAACCACTTTAAGCATTTTTGAGAAACTGTGCCTAGGAGATTTAAAAATTCATATACAAATTATTTTAAATTACCTTTGCCTCCTCAGATTCTGAGTAATATTCCTGTCTATATTCTTTTGGAAAATTTATATATAGATGTATTCATACATACCATATACAAGTGAACATGAAAAGGAGTCAACATTATAAAAATAAGATCTCTACGATGTAAGAAATAGAAAACAGTAGGAAACTAAACTGTGAAGTAGGTTATAATCATAAATATTGTACTCTTATAGAATATAAATGTAATATGAAATACAAAGAATTTTACATATATACATATGCACATCACTCGTGTATATTATGACATTCATCTAATTTTAAAGAACTATAGGTGTTTCAAATTGAAAACTTACCAAAGTTTTTAAACTATTGTCAGCCAATACAAGAATTGTCAAGATTCAAAAATTTTGGTAATTTTATAAAATACGTACAAAATTATGAATTAAAGTTTTTGTCCTCCATCTTTTGGAAATCACTATTTTCAAGTTTTGTTTAAAATCTTTTTCTTGTAGTTTTTTAATTTATTCACTTTTATTGTAAAGATGCTGTATAGAGGGGTTACAGTTATGTAGGTAAGGTAATGAGTACATTTCCTATCCAGCATTGGTACCCTCTCTTTTTCCCCTAGTTATTTGCAATAACTAGTATACATCTAGGACAATCTTACCAGACAAGCAGAAAAGGTCAAAAGCTATGTACATATGACCATATAAGATGATGCTAAGAGAAATAAACCCCAAGATAGGGACACAAGTGGTTTTATCTTTCTTACTGTTGTTTTTAATTATAATGCACTATGTGATTTTTTTTTGTTTCTTTTGTATGTTCTTTCCCCATGATATAACCCCTGTTGTCACTGTATTTGATTCTGGTGCCCTGTATATTGTATATACATTTTTTCTAATTTGAGGAGAAGAAGGGAAATAACAAAATGTTGAAACAAGGATACAGTTTGACCCATTGTAACAATGAGACATACAAGACACTATATTGAAAACGAACTTTACAACTGGGGGGGGGGGGATTTAGGAGAAATCTTTTTTAAAAAATCATATCTAGAGCTTAGATAAGTTGTAGAAGTAGACCAAATGCATATTGTTATTATTGTATTTATTTATATAATCCCTAAGTCAACAATTGGATTTTGTGCTAGTACTCATATTCTCAAGTTCGTAATGAATATTCATTGAATTATATATATATATATATATATATATTGCTGTCTTTACTTGAAGTATTTTACTCTTAGTAGTATATTTGAATGTAGTAAAAGTATCAAATACACACTCATGCATATACGCACACACAATAATAATAATAAAGTGCCTTCATTAGTGAGTTTATCAAATGCTTCTACTTCCTCTCCTAGGTTTTCAGGAACTTTCTGCTCTTATGGCCTCTTGCTGGACATTCAGGCTTTTGGAAAGGACATCTTCCTGACCCAGTTTCTACTCGCAGCAGCGGACACACCCAGCAAATTGTTCACATGTTTTATAATAAGACATGTCAAACGGCGCCCTTCTGTAGCTTTTTTACTTTTTATGATGGGAGGTTCTATTATGGTCACCATATTTGTGCCTAAAGGTAAGTTTTTCAGTGTTTAGAATCTCATCAGGAATGTGTCTTTTTAATCAGAATTTTCTTTGGAGTGGGGGGGGGGGGTGGGGGGGCGAGGGGAGGAGTCCGGTCGTGGAGCCTGAACTCTGGGCCTGGGCGCTGTCCTTCAGCTCTTCACCTCAAGGCTAGCGCTCTACCACTTGAGCCACAGCACCACTTCCAGCCCTTTTATTTTTCTGCTTATGTGGTGCTTAGGAATCGAACCCAGGGCCTCATGCATGCAAGGCAAGCACTCTATGCACTAAGCCACCTTCCCAGCCCCAGAATTTTCTTAATAGAAAATAAAATTCACACTCAACAAATGCCAAGAAGATTAAAATCTAGATGTTAGCAATGATGGAAAATGATTAACAAGTTTCATCTTTATGAAACAATAAACCAGAATTTAGAAAGGCACTGTATATTACTAGTAAAAGAATTTATTTTTAGAAACTCCTACATTAACAAGCATGCATTTTTATTTCTTCCTTGGAAGGTGGTAGGGTTATTTTTTAACTAACAATTCAGTATCATAATTTGTTAGATATCTCAGATTTTCTGTTTATTTTTTGTTCAGTACTGGTAGTATTTATGTTTCTAGGAAATTATCAATTTCTTCTCACTTGTCAATATTTATATATAATTGTCAATAACAATTCCTTGTGGTTTAATTTCTGTTATATCTCTTATATTACCTATTTTTTTATTTCTAATTATAATTGTTTAAATCCCTCTCATTGTCTTATTCTGGCTATTTTTTAAAAAATTATTGTAAAGGTGATGTACAGCGGGGTTGCAGTTACATAAGTCAGATCATGAGAACATTTCTTTTTGAACAGTGTCACCTCCTCCCTCATTTTCTTCCAGTTTTTCCCCAATCAGCCTCCCTCCCACCTTAAGTTGTCTGGTTCATTTTCAACATAGTGTCTACTGAACATTACTGCTGAATTGGTTCACCCTTTGTCCCAATGTTTTTTTTTTTTTTTTGGTCAGTCGTGGAGCTTGAACTCTGGTCTTGGGCACTGTCCCTGTGCTCTTCAGCTCAAGGCGAGTGCTCTACTGCTTGAGCCACAGCGCCACTTCCAGTTTTCTAGTGGTTTATTGTATCTTTAGTTTGATTCATTAAGCAGTGGGGTCCCTTGCTGCCCATGACCTTTCCAAATAGGTACCCTGTCCCCTGGGAACTATGTATTAAATTTCTGTCTGGTTGGATTTGTCCTCTTATCCCATCCTGGAGCACAACAGCAGAACTGTCATCCAATTCGTGTGTGGGCATTTGCTGATTGGATTGCTTTAGCAAGAAAGTTCCCTTCTGATTAGGTTTCTTACAGGCAACACAAGGTTGAATTTAAAAAAATCTATTCAAGAACTTAATGTTCCCTGGGTGGTAAAATGAATCTATTCACTTAATTATTAAAAGGGAATGACTTGATGTTTAGTTATTTATTTTCTCTTTTATGATTCCTTAATTCCTGTCCTATCTATTTGTTTTTATGTTTTGCCTTTCTTAAGGATATAGTTTGTTTCTTTTCTCTATATCCTGTGTATCAATGTTGTTTTTCTTTATTGAAGTTACTAGGAAACTTGCATTAAAACCCTTACAGTCATAATAGTCTTTGTAAAGCTGAATACAGATTGACTACAATTCCATAAGATCTAACCTTTAACTCTTGTCACTTCTATCAGTATATTTCATTTTGCCACATTGTATATGCATTCACATATTTTATGGTTACTTCTAATATTAATATTTTATCAAAACTCATGATAATTTTAGAGGAATTCAATATATGAAACAGAGACACCAACCAGCTGCTGTGATGGCCAGATCTGAATATTTGTGGAAGCATGTGACACATGGGAAATGAGTAAATGATAGGCTTGCTCTAATTAATTTAGTTGGGCTAAAACTGTTATTTGAGTTTTATGGATTTTTGTTAGTGGTTTTTGAACTAATTGCTTTCAGTGCATAAAGCAGTTGGACATAGATTAAGATTCATGAATCATACCATATGTCCTCTCAATACCATTTTCTAGATTACCCTGGTTAACTCAACCTGAGTTTTTTACAGGTACATCTCATTCTTTTCTCCTTTTTGTCTCTATGTACATTTCATGTTCTTCCTTTAGTCTGCTTTCCAGCAACAAGTAGTTTGATCTCAGTGTTATTTAATTCAGTGTGTTTACTTGTAGACTTATAGGCACATGCAGCCTATATTTCTTTGGTGGCTTACTTTGCTTAACCTAATTTTCCAAGTCTTTCCTTTTCCTTACAAATGGTACAATATTCTTTCTGATGGATGAGTAGAATTCCATTATATATGTACATACATATATATGTATATGTGATATATATATATACATACATATACATATGTATATACATACATATATATACATATACATATATATGTATGTATATATATATATATATATCACATTTTCTTGATTCATTCACCCACTGAGGGACATCTAGGTTGACTCCATATTATATTGGACCCTAGCCATTAAGATACAGAAGCCAAAGGAGGCTATGTATAGGAGTGGAGGACAAAGACTCAGTATTTATGGACAGATGACCATATAAAACAATATTCTGTGAAATGAACTCTAAGAAAAGGAAACAAAAAATTATTTAGTTGCCATTTTTGCTGTTTTTGTTTTCTTTTCCTTTTGTCTTGTTTGTTCATATTTGGGAAGGTAAGGGAGGGAACACAGAAGGTGAAATAAGAATGAACAAATACACATGATACTAACTAGACACTATGTGGACAATGAACTGGATATCTTGTGGGCGAGGATGGGAAGGAAAGATTGGGAGGGACCAAATGGAAGGGGAGGCATGATTCCAAAAGAACTGTGCTCATTACTCATTACCAGATTCATGTAACTGCAGCCCCTCTGTATATCAACTCAACAATAACAACTTTTTTAAAAAGATGTTTGATCTCTTCCATCCCACTTTCTCAAATATTTTATTACCTTCCAACTGATTTTTCCAATGTAAGCCAGTATTACAGAGCAGAGTGTTGATGGAAACCAAACGTTCCTCTGCAGGGAGTTGCTTGGGACAGTCTATAGGGAGAAACAGACACACCACCACCACCATCACCACCCTCACCCCACCATGTAGCAGCTATAGTTACTCTGTCACCTGGGTTCTAGTAGAATAGACTTTTTATATTTTAAAGTTTTACTGGATTGCCTTGATTCCTGCTAAATATCAATTCCATTTTTTTTGCTTTTTCTCACTTATTTTTGTCCATTACCAATCTCTTTGCAGTTTCAATTCCAGTTTAATAGTGTTCTGAATAATACTTGCATTGTAACTACCTAACATGTTGCTCCTTCTCTAACTTAAACCCTACTTAGCAAAGACTAGTTTCAGATAATTGACAAGTGGAAAGTATTAAAGAGTATTGGATAATAAATGAAGAAATAAATGCTGAAACAGGGCCTAGTGGTAAATATTTAAGAAGTATTTTATAACACATGAATGAATAAAAATACTGAAACATTCCCAATTATTCTTTCCCAAATCTTGTTCACAGAGATGCACATTCTGCGCCTTATTATTTTTCTCTTTGAGAAAGCTTCCTATTCAACCTTCATTTCATTATGTACAGCTTTTATTTCTGAGCTGTCACCAACAGTACTCAGGTAAGAAAAGAAACTGTAACTTGTCTTTCTTGAGATATTTGTTGTATAGTGCTGGAAGCTTTTACAAAATTCAAATGGATCTAAGTGAGATGTCAGAAAATATTAATGTGACAGAAAATGTTGAGGGATATGAAAAGGCACTAAGGGTACTGACATCAGGAAATTTTTAAATTATTTCCAGTAATAGGTCATCTTTCAAAATTCTCAATTTGTAGAAAGAATTTTCATCAGTCAAATATTAAACTCCCCACAATGAGTCTGTTAATATTCATAAAGAAATTTGCAATGACCATTCATTAAAGTCTAATAGACATTTGAGATTTACTTGAAAAAAGGAAGTGGAAAGAAAGAAAATACAGGGCAACTAGATTTGATTTTTCAGATACATGCCAAAATTTTCAATTGCAAATTAATAAATAAGTAAATCAATAGTACATGATGACACAATATTCTTGTCTATCTGAAACTCAAGTTTAGCTTGTTATCTTGCACCTTATTGAGTTATTTTAATATTGTACCATGCACCTTTGAATTAATGTGTTTATATAACATCACAGATGAGAAAGATGAAAATCATATGAGGTCATATAGTATTTAAACAACAAAGATCGGTAATTTCAAACTCTGTACAGTGTAGTTGAGAGAATAAGACAGTTCTGTCTAAATGGGAAAAATGTGCTTATAATACAAGTTTATAGTACAGCATTAATTGCAGTTTTTTCAAGAAAAATATACCTTGATCTTGCATGAAATGTTGGTGAAACTGTATAAAGTATGGTTCATGGAGAGGTGGATTTGTCAATTCCATGAATTGACAAAAGTGAACATGAGGAAGCTGAAATATGTCTTGTCTCAGGAGTGGAGGTTAAGAGCAAAGAGCAAACGTGTGCAAACACAGTCAGCATAATCGATGCAGGCAAGTAAAAATGGAACTAGGAAACTTGAGAGGTTGAGTTAGGTTGGGACAGATAAGCAGGATTGAGAATGGTAGAAGAGATGTCCCAGATCAAGATGCACTGCACACATTCATTGACATGTTGAGCTGAAACTCCTTGCTACAAGATAACTTTTTATTTTTTTAATTGTGAAAATGCCATACAGAGGGGTTACAATTACATGAGCAAGGTAATGAGTACATTTCTTATCAATCATTGTTACCTCTTCCTTTGTTTCCCCTTCCAATCTCCCCTCCCCCCCCCCCCCCCCCCCGCCATGCCAAAGTTGTAAAGTTCATTTTTTGACATAACATCTTGTACATCTCATTGTTGAGATGGGTCCACCTGTATCCCTATTTAAACAATTTGTTTTTTCCCTTCCCCTCCACAAATTATACTAACATCAAATACAGTGAAAACAGGGGTTATGCCCTGGGGGAGGGACATACAAAGCAACAAAGAAACAGTCTTATAAATATGTTAGAAACAATAGCGGGAAAGAAAAACCATTTGAGTCCTTATTTTCATTTCACCTAACATCAACATATCTGACCATTTCTGCTTGTCTCAGACATATTCTAGTTATTGCAAATAAGGGAAACCATGGGACCTATGTTTCTTTGGGCCTGGCTTACTTCACTTAATATAATTTTCTTCCAAGCCTTTCCATTTCCTAACAAATGGGGCAATGTCATTCTTTCTGATGGAGGCATAGAATTCCATTGTGTATATATACCACATTTTCTTGATCCATTCATCTACTGAGGGCATCTGGGTTGGTTCCATATCTTAGCTATGGTGAATAATGCTGCAATAAACATAGTTGTGCTGGTAGCTTTAGTATGGTCTTGTTTGTGATCTTCGGGTAAATTCCCAAAAGTGGGATTGCTGGGTCATAGGGGAGCTCTATGTGGAGTTGGTTCCTCAAAAGTTAATTCTTTAAATATTAAAAAAAAATGTTGTGAACAGGAGATAGAATTTGATTCTGGTTTTTCAAGAAATGTTTTCTCTTTTTGAAGGTCAACTCTACAAGGCTTTTATATGTTTTCTTTCAAATTAGCAGCAACTTGTGCTGCTTTAGCGCTTGTAACTAGAAAATATTTTGTCCATCTTCCCATGATTCTCTATGTGGTCACTCCCATGGTAGCCTCAATAAGCCTCTACTTTCTCCCAGAGACCTATAATCTTCCACTTCCCAACACCATCAAGGACCTGGAGAAAAGGTGAGCCCTGTGTAGATTTCTGTGTTATGGTCCACTGTGCCCTTACAAAATACTTTACAGAAATGTCACAGGACTGACATTCTAATTTTATAAGACTAAAGAATAGAATATTTACATCAGCTTCACTAATTTTCTGGGTGACAGTCCATGGAGACATTTTTGTAAGATACATACCTTTGATTTGTATTTCAGCAGTTTTATAATTCACAAATCTATACTTGTATAGACATATATATGTATATAAAAAAACTTATTGATAACTTCACATCGCTTTAAAAAAATTTTAAGTCCTTTCACGTGCATCATGTCATTAACCTTTTTTAAATATTTTTTATTGTGAAAATACCATATAGAGGGGTTACAATTACATGGCAAGGTAATGAGTACATTTCTTATCAAGCATTGTTTTCACTATATTTGATGTTGGTATAATTTGTGGAGGGGAAGGGAAAAACAAATTGTTTAAATGAGGATTCAGGTGGACCCATTGCAACAATGAGATGTACAAGACATTATGTCGAAAATGAACTTTACAACTTAGGCGCGGGGATGGGAGGGGCGGGTTGGGAAGGGATGGCAAAGGGAAACAAAGGAGGAGGCAACAATGCTTGATGTCATGTAATCTTAAACTAGAATAAATTGAGAAAATTAAAGACTTATGAGAGTAAGGATATGTTTTATTTTTGTTTTTTTCTTTTTTTGTGTGGATCATGGGGCTTGAACTCTGGGCCTTGGCACTGTCCCTCAGCTCTGCAGCTCAAGGCTAGTGCCCTACCACTTGAGCCACAGTGCCACTTCCAGTTTTCTGGTGGTTTATTGGAGATAAGAGTCTCATGGACTTTCCTGCCCAGGCTGGCTTTGAACCGCAATACTCAGATCTCAGCCTCCTGAGTAGCTAGGGTTACAGGCGTGAGCCATGGGTGCCCAGCTGTTTTATTTTTCTTAATCAGAGATCCTCTCAGTGAAAAAGCTAGAACTGGAACTCAAACATTTTAAAATGAAAATTTATATTCATTCTACTTTTACTAATGAATAAATGCCTTAAGCATTAACATTGTAATTGATTAATCTTACTTAATCATTCCCAAAGTCAGATCGATTTTTATATGACAGTAACTGAAAATGGATACTTTTTAAACTTTTATACTTGTATCTAAATTGGAATCACTGATTTTATGATGATTTCTAGATGATTGAAGTTTCTTATATAAATTTTGATGACCCTGGGAAGCTATGTAAAGTAATAGCTCAAAGAAAGTTTGGGTCCAAAGCATCTGTTAGATCCTAAAATATTCTAAAATATCTTTATCTGAAGAACTATAAATTAAGGCTCATAAGCATTTCCTTTGTGGATTAAAAATAATTCATGTTGTGACATAACCAGTGTAAAGTTACAGGGTGTCATTTCTATATTCCCATTTCTATATTCCCAGATAGAGATATGCAGTAAAACGATGATTTTTGTGTAGAGGTAGAACCTTTAATATGAGAGATATGATGTTAGTTGCAAAATACTTACACATAGAAAGTGTTCAAGTTTGTATTTTATGGCGGTATGTTTGATCTTGAAGGGTACATTGAAGGCAGTTTAAGGCTACATAGATTCTAAACAAGAGAATGAGGATGCGAAACTATAGCCATTCAACAAAGCATAAACATAACTGGATGTAAACAAGTTTTAGGAGCCCAAGGACCATTAAAAACAAACAGCTTTAATAGGAATGAATGAATTCTAAGTTTGTTGGGATAAATCTATACTTGGGTCAGTGAGAATATTTAATTTAATCCTACAAAGAAGTACAATTTTGTTTATGGAGGATGAAACTGGCATTACAAAAAAGCAATTTCCATTAACACTTAAAGGATTCATCATATCAAACTTTTAAAAGCAGTTTGTGGGGATTTTTCTCTTTTAACCAATGAAAGGAGTCAAGATTTTATTTTCAGTTTTTATAACACACATAGATAATGAGGAAATTATTGCCAAACAGTATTAGAAAGACATAGTTTCAGCCAAATACCTTGCAACAATACTCATAATTGTCTATGTGCTAATGCAAATATCTCAACTTTTCCATATAGATAAAACATAAAGTATATACCAACTGCCTATGCATGAGAAGTAGATTATCACCTCCAAATTATCAATGTTTCCAAACAAGTTTATTTCATTCTTCTGTGTGGGACATGGATATAAGTACATTTCATTTTCAGACTATGGTCTCACATTTTAAGTCATGTGGTTGAACTTGGAGAACTGCTGTAACTTCATTATTAGAAAGTAGCTAGGTTGTGTCTATTTAAAACTACATAGAGACCTATTCCACAAGCATTTTCTAGGAAAGAGCAAGTGGTCCAAAGAGCATTTCAGTGAAAGCTCTGATGATGGCTAACTTACTAAATGGAGAACACTTGTTTGTCAGATGATCAATGAAGTCGCTTGATCTTTAATCTCTTTTCACATGAACATGAAGTCAGTGCCACATGTCCCATAGCATGTGATACCATGTGGGTAATGACATGAGCACAGAATTAGAAACTTGTTTTAGTATCTGCACAAACTTATAAGAGACCTGAGAGTCACATTTTAGTCATCTCTAAATTGGCCAGACACATTCAAGTCTGATTTGCATCCTCAGGAACATGTTATAGAGTATCAGAGACTAAGTTAGAAATGTATGAATTAAAATGTAGTACAAATGAAATGACATTTCCTGCTTCTCCTGGACTCATTTCAGTCACTAATCTGCGTTTTGTTTCTTTGATTCTAGGGACAGATTCTGGATCAAGAGCAATAGAAAAAAACAAAGTAAAGAGCTTTTGGAAACTACTGAGGTCTAAGGAGTGTAAGAGTACTTACCGAGTTGACAATCTGGCCATATTTTTACATAATTTTGCCAATTCTAATCTCTTTTATAGCCTACATCTTTGGTTTGATGAATATTCACAAACTTACTTATTAAAGAAATGAGTTGCAAAGGAACTCTTTCAATGAAAAAAACTATAATATGGACTTGAAAATGAACTTGATAAATAGGAATATAAACTTAGTACCATTTCCTAAATCACACAATATAAAAGGTTCTGAAGTTATACAAGCCTTGCCTAAATTATTTAAAGCCTGATATATCCTGAATTATTGTTAAAGAACCTTGGCCAAATGTATCTAAACTATTTTAAATGTTATTTCTTTATAATCTTAATAGAAATACTAGGAATACATTTTTCTAATTATAGAATAACACGAGATTACAATGAGATTCTACATACATATGTACATATACCTACATGTATATATGGCACACAATTCATAATATGGATTATATGATCTTCCTAATATGGAAAACAATGGATTCTAAAATCTACATGGTCTAGAAATTTAGCTACAGAATGGCTACATTATTGCCAAGCTTGCTGAGTTGTCTGAGAATGTGGTAAGGTTAGAGTTTTGAAGGTATTTTCCCCAGGTACATTTTATAGGGAAAATTTCTCTTCTTCGTGCAAACTTCATTTCAATTCATCTTTGAATCAACATTTTATAATGATAGGAAAGGAACTTGGTGGTATGTAGAATGAGCCACAGCTTGAAATGACCCAGAACTGAAAGGACTTTTATATCCTTAATTAGGATGTGATGAAGCCTAAAGGATCCTGTCTGCTTTCTCCCATTCGCCCCTCCATTGAAGAGAACGCAGATATGCTTTACATGATATGTAATATTTATTACGATTTACACACAAGTTTAGAGTACATGAAATGATTTTGAAAACAAAATAACTAACTTTGAGAGACTTCTATGTGAAAATAAGTTTTCATATATATATATACATATAATATATATCCAAATAAATATTGTTCATGTCATCTTCACAATAACTGAAATAGTTATTATCTCATTATGTAGAAACTCAGTATGTCAATAGTTGTGCTAGGATAACAATAAAAATCAGGCATTGCCTTTCAAAGACCATGATATGAAATGATCCTACTTTAGCCAATAAAAAATGAAAATGGTAATGTGCTAAACTATGAGGAGCAGGAAAAAAAAAAAAAACAGAAGAAACAGTCTTGAGAATTCACTCTTAATCAAATCTTTGAATCTCTTCAATAGATTCTACTCAATGTTTTGCACAGTCATCGTCTTTATGTTCTTAAAGATACAAAACAGTCATGTACCTCCTCTTTGGAATATGAATTTGGGTCACATTTATGTGAGAGCAAAAAATAGGTGGATACACCTATACCTAAGAAACACACAAAATACTGCAAGTTTATCATTCTCTTTTCTTAGTCTTTGATATCATGTACAGGCTGGAAATTGTGTCTGCTGAATCATGACATCATGATTCATGCACATTCAATTACTCCACTGACACTACCTTTAGCCACTGTGGTTGAAGTGAAAACACCGTGGTCACAGGGCTACGTCTTGTTCAGTGTCATTCATGGCGGACAAATGCGGATTTTAAGAATTGTCACTGGGTCTGGCGGAACTGATGACACTGTTCAGGCTCGGGCCCGAGTCCCTTGGGATGGAGACCCTCAGCAGAGATGCAGAGATGGTGATCCTGGAACTCAATTTGGGATGGGCAAGGAGGCAGAAGAGCAGCGGTGAGCAGGAATGGCTGCTGTAAAGTTCTCCATGAAGTCACACAGGGTGGACAGCATATTCAAAAATACTGAAAGGAGAATGGATAGTCAAAACCTGAAGTCGTCCATGGTCACCCACGTGTTGAAGTTCCTCATGGGTCATGGGCAGGCCTAGGAGAATCAGCTGTACAATGATAGACATTCCAGGCTTGAAATGTCAAAGTAGCCAACAGCAAGATTACTGATTTCAAATGTATTTCTGAATTAGAAAGTATAGAATGTGAAGCACGCCTATAACATTTCTTCAACTTACAAGTTTGCTTTCTGTCTCTTCTTACCGAAGTGCTATAAACCACTTGGATTATTTTCACAACATGAAGGGGGAAAAGTGACTTCGTGACAGTGACAAAATTAAAGACACCTGTAAAGGAAAAAAAAAATGCCCTGGTCAGGCAGCTGTACGAATTCATCCCATCTTTAGAAATCAGAGTTATCATGCAGCACAATGTATTCAACTCTGCTTCCTGGGATTTGTTTATGCAAGACACTAATTGCAAGTTTCAAGTTATACAATATGATTGTGTAATGCTTTTACCATGTAATGATTACCATTGTGTAATGATTACCATGATTAAATTAATTAACATCTATCACCAATTATGCTGGTTTATTGATTCCCCAGAATCTGTTCAACTTACAGTGTACCCTAAAACATAACCCTTCTATTTTCCAAGTCCCTCAGCACCTGACAAATACTAGTCCAGTCTAGGAGTTCACTTATTTAAGATTGCAAATCTATATTACATCACACAGTATTTCCCTCTCTGTCCCAAATCTTTCATATAAAATAAGGTTTCCATCATTTTTTATGTGGTCACAGTGGCTGCTTTCCTTCACCTTCTCCATGAATAATATTCCATGATAGCTATTATAGCCTTTACCCATTTATGTGGCCAGGTATATTTAAAAAGGTTCAATATAGTGACATTCATCACTGACATAATCATTAGAGAAATTCAAATGAAAATCACAATAATAAATGACCTCATCCTCTTAGGGTAGATATTAGCCAAAAAATACAAGCGTTAGTGGGTGTGTGACAAAAGGGAGAAATCCTTGAATACTATTTACGGGAATGAAAAGGAATAGAGACACTATGAAGGATAAGAAATGGATTCTCTGCTTTAAGTAAAAAATCCAAATTAAGTGAAATCCACGTGTGTGGAGCGCTACTTGCACTCCTTCAAGCATTGCCATATTGTTTACAATAGGAAAGTAACAGAAGCAACTGAGCGGGATCCTCACAAAATAGCTTTGTTATTTCCTCTTAAAATTGTGTGTGAGATGGCAAACATACATAGGTTCATGCATGACCAAAATTATATAAAAGCAGATACAAATAATATTCACTCTGATAGGATATCTAAAAATGAAACAAATGTCTCCCCTAATATCTGATTATAATGATAGCTGCATTATGATATGATGCATTATGATAGCTGCCTAATGCACTAGTTCAAAGGAATAATCTTTGAAAATCTACTTTAGAACTGGAAGGGATTGTCAGTTTCATCACTGCTGAGCTAAGAAAATTCTTAACAGCCTGGCTGAGCAATGTCTGTAACCTAAGTCTCCAAAGAGAAATTTTTCTGAAGACCATATTCTCAGGTTCTGGAGTAACTAAGAATGCAGACACCAACCATTGATGCCAAGCTGTGTTTAATAACATTTTCCTCATTATTGCTTAATATTGTTCTCTTTGGAATATGATTCCATGTCTTTAGTTCTTATCTTTCTATATGCTCCTAAATCTACTCTAATCACCCAGCTAACCCCCCGTCCCATGTCAAATCGTGGCAAAAATAGTTGCCCATGTTGCTTCCTCCCATTTTTTCGACCTACCATCAGGAGCACTTGCACCAGCCATTGTGACCTCTTTGGCAGTTGTTCCCAGAGCATGACATTCTCCTGATTTTCTTCTGCCATGGTAGTGGTCCCTTTACCCTTTACAGGCTCGTCATGGTGCACGCTGATTGGTCCTTCACCTCCAGAGTACAACTCTCTGTGGACTCACCCCACCATGAATCTTCAAATATTCTTATCACAATCCACCTATTTTATAATATTCTTCTACTACATAAAACGGTTTCTGTGGCTTGTAAATAGTGCGTCATAATACCATCAAAATGAATGAATGAATGAATGAATGGGGGGGGGCAGGCTCAGCAGTTTATGCTCTCCAATCATCCCACTTAGTTTCAACTTTTTCCAGCTATCCTGCCAAAAGCTTTAAGATAGAATATATGAGATGTTAACTAGTCCAATTTCTATTCATCTTTTCCTAAATTAAAAATGTTCCTAAAGCAATGTTCTGTATTAATCAGTAATGCAAAGCACACAAGCTATGTATTACACCACATTACCCTGGTTAATTAGCATGGGAAGGAAACCTGTCTTTGCCCAAGCAAACAATGAAGCCCATGTCAAGTTAAGGTGGAAGAACATAACAAGAAAGTAGTCCCAGGCACAGGATCAGTGTGAACATCAAGAGTGTTCTGTTGTATGGCAAGATTCCTCTCAGCTCCTCCTCTGATTTGAGCAACCCACAGGAAGATTCCAGGCAATACAGAGATCATGTTTATTCATAGGCTTTCTGTCCATAGATTCATCATATCTCTGACAACAAGGAGCATCCCAGAGCATAACAGCTAGCACAATGCCCAACAGTGGTTCCATTCCATCACCAAATGGAGCCAGCTCATAATGGCATCCTCCAATGGTACCACCTTGTCCGACAGTGGTAGCATCCCATTGTTCTACTCCATCCCTTACTGGTGCCTGTTTATAGCATCTCTAAACAAGAGAGGCATTTGACTAAGGCCTCTCACACAAAGCCACATGTGCACGTTGGTCTCAAGAGTACCTTCAGGGGTTACCTAAGGTCATGAATGCATGCATGATTCAAGGTTACATGGATATGCTGGACCAACTTGAACAACCATCTTTGGGAAGTGCAGGCCCAAAGCCCTCCAGAAGCCCAACTCACTGTTTACACATTTTGATATGATGACAGAAATAAGATGCAAAATCCAATGCAAAACTTGGAATTAGAATCTAGAACCCAGTCTAGCACAAGTAAAAAACCCAGTCAAAAAATCAGGAATATAATAGTGCTCTAGCTATAAATCTGGAACCAAGGTGAGCTTTCCTCTGTTCTGATTTTTTTTATTGTGAAAATACTGTACAGAGGGGTTTCAATTACATGGGCAAGATAATGAGTGCATTTCTTATCAAGCATTGTTGCCTCCTCCTTTGTTTCCCCTTCCCATTCCTTCCTATCTCCCCCCCCCCCCACACTCAATCCTCTCCCTCTCCAAATACACAGACTAAAAGGTGGTTCTTAGTCTTCCTGGAAGTATATGGTTAGAAAGAGACAGGGTTTACCCCTGGACTTTCAGGTGTTCTGAACATCTCTTTAAAGTGAGATTGTACATGTGCAGGACGTGATGATTATTGTGATAGTAGAAAACATCCTAGCTCCACCAGAGCAAAGTGGCTTCATTAAATTGAAACACAAAACTTTTACCTTCCATGTGTTGGTTCCAATTAATAGTCCTTTAACTTAAGAGGAATCAAGTCAACTTTCTCTGTCATATACATTTTGTATATATACTTCTGGAATTCAGGGAGGGGGCGGGAAAAACAAAATACTTAAATAAGGATACAGGTTGACCCATTGTAAAAATGAGATGTACAAAACATTATGTTGAAAATGAACTTTACAACTTCGGTGGGGGTTGGGGGGAGGGTAGTTGTGGAGGTGGGAGGGAAGGGAAGGTAGGGGAAACAAAGGGTGAGGGAACAACACTCAATAGGAAATGTACTCATTACCTTGCTCATGTAACTGTAACCCCTCTGCATTTTTACAGTAAAAAACGTACCAAAAAAAGCTAAGAGCTGGTAATGATACCTACATTGATCACTGTCCAGAGCTACTACAAATATGCAACCTATACCAGTCTTAAACAAGGGATTGCGAGTAACAGAGAATATAAGCACCCCCATGGACAAGAAACATCATTTACTCATAGTTAAATATTATTCCAGAACAATTTGGCGAGATTATTTTCTTAAGGTAAACTGTTTTCTCCAAATTAGTTTGGCTTTTATTGTGCTCAAAATTCAAACAAATAATATCAAACAGATGGTTTGAAGCAGTGAATAAATAGGACATGAAAGAGTTCGTATACTTTGTTGTTCTATTTTACAGCTAAACATAGCAATCAGGTTTTGTTGAAACCCAGATAAAATTGCAAAATTAACTTGTTTGGGTTCCAGGTAATCTGGAAGAAATAAAACTTCTCCAGGAGCATGTGCACTTGGAATCTCTTCTTCATGTAATGATCAAGAAATTGATTTAATCCTTCTTTGAAGGTTCCCAAGCTGAAGTGAGCAAGAATGAGAGAGAGAATCATTTTATAGCTAAGTGAATTATGTTAACTAATTGGTTACACAAATTTCATAAATGTAAAACAGAGAGTACCAATGACAGAGGGGGGTGGCAGGGATATACAACACATGAAAAGGTGTCATGGACACTAAAAATACTAAGCTTAAATGAAGAACTAAACATTTGAACATCTCCCAGTGGAAGATCAGTCCTTGCAGCAGGGAAGAGACCACAGTATATTAGCACTCTCTTAGTGATTATACATTTGCTCTGAGAACAGATCCTCTATTAAAATTGTCAGTCGTGTTTTTTTCTGCATATAGCTAACTGAAAAAAATTGTTATGATGTCATGATGAACCAAAGAGGATTGGGACAAAGAGTTCTACTAAGCATGAAGCTTCATCAAGCATATCAGTTAGATAAGGTAAAAGAGCCTTGAGAAAACAAGTCTGAACACAGACCCACTTACAATGCAGAATTATTTAGAGATTTACCACAGTTTGAAATAACTCATGGATGAGCTAAATAGTCTAGAAATCAAAATATTAAGAAAAGTATGTCATAAATGCACAAAACCAATGCAGATAATAACATCCATTAATAATAATGCACATTACTTACTGGCACAACATATGAATCTCACCGGGCATCAGTTGCTCATGCCTGTCATCTTAGCTACCCAAGAGGCTGAGATCTGAGAACCTTTATATGAAACCAGCCAAAGCAGGAAAGCCAATGAGACTCTCATCTCTAATTAACCAACCCCCAAAAAAGCTAAAAGTGGAGCTACGAATCAAGTGGTAGAGCACTAGCCTTGAGCAAAAATGCTCAGGGACAGTGCCAGGACCTAAATACAAGTCCTAGGATGGGACAACATATAAATACGAATCTAATAATACAAAAACTTAAAACATCAAAACTTATGCACACACTGACTACACATGGTATCATTCTGCCAAGAGACATAATGTAAATAAATATAACAATATGCAGTATTAAAACATATAAACATTAAAATGACTGTAGTATGTGCTATACTAGGGTAATAATTTCCTGGCCATACCCTATAGGCTACTGTAGTGAGCTCCAGTATTGCCAGTATCGACTTTTTTCCCATCTTTTCATGTCCATCTTTTCATGAATAATTCATCTCACTGCAAAATATGTAATTTCCTAGAGAATGTGAAGTACTCTCTCCTGATTCTT